AGTAACTCTAATAACACTGCCACATAAGCAAGTTACTTAATAAACAGAAGAAGACTAAACTACCCCTATTCGGCACATCTTAACACTTAACAATTCCCTGAGTTTGTAAATCATGCAACATTTCAAAATGATGAATCAGCTTTAACAGTTAATTCAACTGCAATCAAAAATTGTCCCTGCTGTAAACCTCATCAATATGAGATAACAGCTTTAAAAGAATCATTTTACAATACCAACTTTGTTTTGTTTAGTTCCAACCAACTACTTAGGTATCCCTACGAAGAAACTCTTGCATTCAATTACATACAAAAAAAAGAAACATCCAACTTTATCTCTCATAAAAAGATAACTATAACAATGTCGAAGGAATACTTAAGAGTTCAATGGAGGAAACCAAAACTTAATCTCAGATTCGGATCATAATTCTCTTCATAAACCCTAAGAGAAATTGCAGTTGTACAATATACCACAAGGAAACAACTATAAGAAGTTGAGAGGATGGAGCCACAGAAATCCCACTTAGTCTTTCTTGGAATCACTGGCATTCTCATCCTGCCATGTTGCTTGCCACTGCTTATCATAGAATGTTGTTTCTTCTATAAGTTTTTTCAAAGTTTCTAAATCCTCATTCTTCCTGATTAGAAGAACTCCAGCTACAGCTACAAATAAGAGAGTTTTGCAGAAAAAGTTCCCCATCTGATCGACAAGACCTACCCCAGTCAAGCTATCCACAAAATAAGCCATGAAGAACCCTATCATCGCAGCACGACCTATGTAGAACAGAAAGTCAATAATTGATTCAAAACCAGCTTATAAAAGGGTCTATTAGATGTCAGGTCAGAATAAACAAAGACCAGAACCAACCATTGAGTAGCTCAGCTTCAGGAAGATGGAATCTTTTCATCCATGCCCACCAGGGAATAATGGAGGTATCAAAGACTACAGGATCATCATTATTAGATGATTCTGGATTTTCTTCAAGCCATTTCCGTCTCCTGACCTCTGAAAAGAATTAGCCAAAATGGCATATGAGAAACCAAACAAGATTGGACGAAATATGCTAGATTTTGATCAAAGAGAATAAATATGATAGTACCAAAAGTTCCCTACCTTAATCAAAAATGCATTGTCCGCTACTTTCATATGCATAAGATAAAGTTAATGCAGTCATGCTTCTTGTATTCATCCTCTAGTGAGTGAATATTGACCATGCCATTAAAAAATAAATTATCCAATCATAATCAGCACAATCAAAATGGCATGGGTCCGGTTAGTTTAACCTCATTCAGCACAAAATAAACAAAAAGTAAAGGGGCTACTTTGGCTGGTGCTATCATGGTTGCAAACCAACACCCCCCTGCATGTAGTCCAAGGAAAAGGCATAAAAATGGTTCTTCCTATTTCTTTCAGCTGTTGAATTAATGGAACAATTCTTTTTTTGAGTATTAATGACACAATTCTTAGATGCATTGTTCCTTGAAGTAGAACTTACAACTACTGGCTTCTTTCGAAAAATCGGTACAAACAAAAATGGACATTCTAAAGGACCAAAGACTAAAATTTGTACTGACTGGATAGCATTAACAATCTTAACATATCTTCTCTTAAAAGATTAGCATAAATACCCATTGGTGAAAACAAAGTTTCACAAATCCAGTAGTAACTAGGCAGCTGGCATGTGCAACATCCACAATAAGAATTTAAAATACACAGAGATGTGAGGCCCCACCATTAGTGGTGGAAGAGGATGCTAAGTCTGAGTCCATCTACCAGGGTGAGGTACAACATTAAATAACTAGATATACTTATCAACATTCATAAGCTAGCATTCCTAGTTTAAGCTATTTCAGTTCAGTCCAGACATTGAAATTTAATTTTGAATAATAGGAAAGATGCCCCTGTCAGAACAATAAAAGATAAACAATAAGAAAACTTGAATGAACTCAGAAGGGATATGTAAGCTTCTATATGGAACAGTCCAAAGAATTTACACACCAAAGCTCCCTCTAGTTTCCAAGGAAGCACTTAAGAAAGCTCCATAACTAAATGTTCTGTATTTTTTGGGGGGAGGTCTTCTGAAACAAAATAAATCACATAAAAGATCTCTGGGTGTGATTAAATCCATTTGAAATAAAACTCCACAAACTGCCAGAACTACAGGAAATTAAAAGAAAGCTCCATAACGCAAACCATAAATTAAACATCTTACAAGCTGCAAGAAATAACTACAGGAAATTAAAAGTAAAAAAGGGAAAAAATCCCATGAAAGGTATAACACGAAGTAAATCACAAATTAGAACAGACACAATGGGAAAATAATAATAATAATAATAAACAAGAAGAATTCACAATAGTACCCCACCTGCATCAATAACGGCGTCCCAGTTGGTCTTTCCATCTTTCTGAAACTGCTTCAAATCCCAAGTCCCTCCGAGCCATCTAGGGTCTTGGAACCTGGGCACAGCCTTCGCCACCGACGAGGCCGCCCCATTAGACCCAACAGAGACCTCTTCTATCTGCAACTTCTTCTCAGGTTTGGCGGGAGAAACTTCCTCCTTTTCTACTTTCTCCTCCTCTACAGTAGCAGCAGAACCCACTAGTCCAGCTCCATTATCCAATGCCCTTGCAGATAACAAACACGGATTTCTCTTGGATATCAGAGAAAGACAAGACTTCTGAGAAAAATGGGTTGTTCTTGAAGAAAGTTTATAAGAGACTCCAGGGAGATGAGAAGGAGGAGAAGGAGAAAACAATGCCATGGACATTTCCTATTTTCCTCTCCAGCGTAATCACAACATACTCTTCTTTGGGCTATCCTCAGCCTCAGAAATGAGGGTTGATTTATAACTGAAATTACGATCCCAAACTGGTAAAGAAATAATGGAACTCCAGGCTCCAGCTCAGAGTGAGATAACTATAACCAAGGAAGAGAAAAGAGTACTGTACTCTGTACTAGTACTATTGTGTAAGCTATCTGAAGCTTGGCGATCCACCGTATTAGAGTAGGTCTGTCTCTCAATTGATGTGGGTTCCACGATCAATGGTCTTGTCAAGGGCGATGAGGGTGAGTAGATCCGCGAGTAATATAAAAGATCTAGTGTTGACAGCAGCTCCAAGGGCGATAATAAAATGAAGCATTTTCGCTTTTTAGTTTTTACTTTTTACTGCCTCCATCTCAAAGGGATGCTGCTCTCGTATGACAAATTTCCACTCAATAGATTTATGACACGTGTCAAACGAAATCCATATCCTTTTCGTTTTGGTGATGTGCCACATCATCCATCATTCATATGTGCGCGAACCGAATATGATAACGTGTCATGCGGAGAAAGGTTCAAAACAGCCCATGCCCAGCCTTTCACGCAACTTGGGCCTGGATGGGCTGTCGGAGATTATGAGTCCGGACTGGGCCCAGCTTTGACGTTCGTAATGGGCAGCCAGTGGATCATGGACTCTTGGGCTAAATCCATGACTTCATTCTGCAGATATATATCAAATCAATGTGCATCGGTGGCACCAAATAGGGCCTGTTTGGGAGGGTTGAGCTGAAGACTCAGCTAAGCTGGTTCATCTGTTTTGATGCACTCTAAATAAGGGGTGTTAGGCAAGTCTTTTTGTGTCGTCTTTTGGGCCTTTCAAAGTTTGGAAGACCAAAATTTGGTCTTTCTCCATTTAACAATAAAAGATAAGAAGCCAGAAAGGCCTATGCCCTAAAATCTCATGAAATTCCAAAATGGCAAATAATCTAGAAGCTTCCTATATTTCTGCACCTACAGTCTTTCATTTAAGGTGATGTTTGGCATCTATGACGATTCCTCCTTGTCGATTATCCAGAAATTGGTGATTGAAAAATCATCAAAAATTGTTGTTTGGTATCATTTTTGAGAAATTGGCTTTTAGTTTATTTGGTACTGATTCTCAAGGGCCAATTACTTTTATATTAGAATTATTATTCAATTCCATGTTCGATGCCATGTCATCCTTAAAAAATCAGAATCAGCTAAAAATCAGGAAAGCACCAAAAAAATTGATCCCTTATAATGGTTGATTTCAATAATCGATTTTTAGTCGATTCTCCTGAAAATCACCAAAATTTCAATGGCAATTCCTATAACACTGATGTGGATCTGACATGTCAAGCATCATCATGATAGACTATAATACTTACCAAACGGTCTAGATTAAAGAAAAAAAAAAGCTAATTACAACTTTTGGCCTTCTAAACTGTGAGAAGATCTTCCTGAAAAATAATTGACAAACGCAAGCTAAGTTATTCAAAGAAATAAAAACTGACAGCCCTTGAAATGACTAGCAGCAATGTACACAGAGTCTTGTTAACAGCAAATTCGGACTCAAGGGAGACTGCATAGCCTTTTCTTGAATTTGATCAACAGAGTCCAGATCTACATACCAAAAGATGCTGGCCACAAACCCCACGACTATATGGCTGTAGCGTGTTGTAGGTGGGACGTGGACATCAGATCCGAACTCCTTTAATACTGAAATAAAAATAGGCCTGTCAATGGGTCGGGTCCGATCCAACGGACCTGATGGAACCGATTAGATCGGTTCTGGTTCCAACATTTATACCGATGGGTCGATTCCAGTTTATAATTTCTTGTTTCGATTATTATCGGGTCGGTACCAGGTCCACCCTATCCCGAATCAATTATTCTGGTTCCTAATTCCTCTATCTTTCCATTCAATTACTGAAAAAACGAATCGGTTTAGTTTGAATGAAGACTTTTAGTTCAAATTTCAGTTGAGTAGCGAGAAACCCAGATCGATTTCGGTTGAATCTGCAAAAAAAAGGTAAGGATTTTTATCTCTACACAGTTCTAAGTTATTTATCAGTTGATCCTGCAAAGAAGTTAGGAACGTTGTTCTGAGTTTTTTTATCTGTTTTTAAGAATATATGTAAACAATTCAGGCAAAAACAAGATTTGAAATTTCAATCCATTTTAAGTTGGAAAAATCAATCTTTTTTTGTTATGAATTTTGTCTATAAGTTAGTTTCAGGTCAACCCATCTCTAACAGAACCGATCGATTCTGCAGTTTTACCCTTCTGTTTGCATTGTTCTGAATACTAGGGAGCATGGGTTTTTTCTTCCTTAATAAGCATATTATAATGGGGTCCATTGGGTAGGACCCGATTGTCCCAATAACTGATCAATTCGGTTCTGAGTTCAAAATTACAGATTCTATAGGGTCTGAATCAGTTCCGGATCCATGATTTCACTTATCAGTTCAGGACCGGGTCTACCAGGTTCTGACCCAAAACCGACCTGTATAGGAATGCAAAGTGCAAAGGATACCTAAATTCAAATTTAATTCTTAATATCCGAATTGAGTATTAATCATATTCAGATACTGAATATGATTAATAAACTTAACAAAAAGTATAAAATATTATATATCATTAATAAATTAAATTAAAGTTGAGTTTGATATTATATACAATAAATAAAATGAAATGAAATGAAAATGACCTTCATGAGAAAAAGTTCTGACCAGTGATTTTCCATGTGTCGTAAAACATACGGTACTGGCAACCACCATTTAAGCTAATAAATGATGCATTTAAATAAATGACTTTTTAGAGTTCAGTCTCTTTCATAATTGTTTTATTGATTTTCCAAATGTATTTATGCCCACTCACTATAAATAAGAAATAAAAAGTAACTGATGGTTCTAGTGAATTAAAAAAAAAGAAAAAAAAAAAGAAATTTGTGTGTTTAATCTATTTCTAATTGTAAGGATTAAAAATATAAGTTCGATTATTATTTTATATCTCATTTAATCTCCTTTAATTAAGTCTTATACTTAAGGTATTAAATCTCATTTTATCTTATTATATCCTATATTTTAAGTTGTTTCTCACTAATAAATGCTACTAATTAGATATATGTCAATATTCTTAATAATATAAATCCATATATTTTAAAATTGACTCAAAAACAAAACCATTCTTTATCCAAATAGTGGTTAAGCAATTCAACCATCTGAATCAAATTGGTCAGTTTACGAAGTCATATTTAGGTAATAACATTTTTAAAATAGAAATAAATATAGAAAATTATAAAAAAATATAGAAAAATTAGACACATTTATGTAATCAAAATAAAAATTAAGTGCAATAAGCACCAATTATTTTTATTGATAATGAAAATGAAATACGTAATTTAGAACTTGCCAAAAATGAAATATAAAAATTAATAATAAATTGTTCAACTTTGGGTTAAATGCATTAAACTTTAGCGTCATAAATAAGTAATAAAATATAAAAATAAAAAATATACACATTTTGCAAAAAAAAAAAAACATTCAGACACATGTATAATATCATATATTTATCATATTAAACAAAAAGTAAGTGTAAAATATCAGAATTAGTTTTACACACACAAAAAAAAACTATAGTAAAAATTGAACAAATCTATGATTTTATATTTACACTACTATTAAAAATATGAATAAGATCATGAAAATTTCTTTTGACTAAAATACTTATTTTTTTAATTTATTCCCTATTTAATTGTGAGGTTTAAATTGTAAACTGAAGTACTACTTTTCACCATATTCAATTCACTCTATTTAGATCTTACATTTTTTATAAATGAACAAAAAAAAGATGCACAAAAAAATTTGCAAAATGAATAATCTAACCAAGCAGTAGGGGTGCAAATGGATTGGATCATGATCCAATCCGATCCTTTTGTTGGATTTGGATATCCCCACTCCGGATCTTCGGATCGGATTAGGTTGGATAATATGCTCCAATTAGAAACTGGATCCAATTTGGATCACTCCCTACCTGATCTGTCTGACATACATACATACATACATACATACATACATACATACATACATACATACATACATACATACATACATACATACATACAATATATACATACACATACATATATATGTTATTTATTTATTTATAAATATATTATTTATATTGCATTTTTGCAAAATTGTTATATTATTTATTTTTTATAAAAAATGTATATATGATGAAAATAGTTGAAAAGATACTTATATTTTTTGTTTTTCTTTATTTAAATTGTTATATTTTAATTCTCTTTTAATATTTTATTAATTTTTAAATTAAATTGGAACAAATCAAATCCAAATATCTGACTTCCTCATTAGATTCGTATTCAAATCCATGTTTATGAGATGCGACTGGATTTGCTGTTAATAGTATTGGATCATATTCGGATATACCTTGATTCGAATCCGATAAAATCCATTTGCATCCCTACTAAGCAGGTGGGCTTGTCAATGATGCCTAAAACTTCACAATTCAATCCGATTATCACATATTTAAATGAGATGTTTATGTAATCAGATTTTGATTTTACAATATATACATACACACACACATCCTTGCTTTATATAAAACAAGAATGCATATTAAACACATGCAATGCATAAAATTAAATAGAAAATTGGTTAAGTTAGGGTTGGTAAATTTAGGGTTTAACATAGATTGGCCCCAAAATCTGATCCAATCCATCTAAATTATACTCCTATTTTATTAGAGAGAGCCAAAAGAGGTTGATAGAGATTTAGGTTGCGGTGTAAAACCTCAATGATGGAGTTTCACACCAAACCGTTGAACTTTCGGAACATGTGATTATCAATGTAAAACCTTATTATAAGTGACATTTTACATTGGTTTACAATGTAAAACTCCACTCCATCCAAATGCCAATAAATCTGAATCGGGAGTGGAGTATTACATTGATCTTGATCTACATTGCAAATAAACACTAACAAAACTAAACTGATGGTAAGGTCTTACATCACAAACAAACGCAGCCTTAAGAGGAAATGACAGAATTGATTGGATAACAAGAAGGTAAGTCATTCATTAGGCTTATGTTTGGTGGATTTAGGGTTTGACATTGTATGGGTTGAGGCTAGTATCCATGTTTAGGGTGAATTGGGATCTCCTACCAACAAAACATGTTCCAACATGATCTAACACCACATGTTTCACAATAAGACTGGGCCCACAAAAAAATCAAGACTGTGAGATCATATTGGGAATAGGGATGCAAGTCAGGCCGGGTTAGGTTGAGTTGAGGCCAATCCTAAGTTCGAAACCCCAATCCTAACCCTAACCCAACCCTAACTAAATTCCTTCAACCCTAACCCAACCCAACCCAACCCGAAGTCAATTTCGAGTTGGGTTGGGTCCAACCCAACCTTCTTCCCATGCTTTAAAACCTCATAGAATTTATAGATTTTAGATCTTAACTCAACTTTCACTACATATATTAATCCTATGTTTCATTAGTATTTGTTTGTTGATGTTATTTTTTGGTTCTTTTAGTACAAAATTCAGAAAAACTAGTGTTAGAAATTACTATAGATTATTATGATTTTGACTTACGATAGATCTTTCTTGGGCAGCAAACAACATAGAGGAGATGAAGAATAAAATTTAAAAAAAGATATAAAATAATGTTATTTAGGTTTTAGTCTTTCTGATTGGGATTAAGTGAAGTGACTATCTTAAAAGAAATACATAATACTATGTGGTGGGGGTTATACAAATATCATACATCTAAACAAATCAATGTATATTATATATTACATATAACATATATTTATATATGACATGTATTATAGAGTCGGGTTCGGGTTGGGACAAATTGGCTAAGGGGTCAACCCTAACCCAACCCGAAGTAAAGTCAGATTTATGAATTTCAACGCTAACCCTAACCCTAACCTGAACATCAGCCTGATCTAACGCAACCCAACTTTTTCGGATTGGGTTCGGGCCAACCCCGCCCAAGTTGCAGCCTTATTTAGGAGGGTGTTGGAATGTATTTTGTTGGTAAGTAATTTGAACTTGTTTTATGGTTCCATGATCACCCAAACCCGGTCCGTCTTTTAAACAATCCGGCGAAAAAGACAGAAAATCCAACATAAAAAACTGGCCCGAACAACAGAACACGAGGTGATGAAGTGTTGGTCCAATTTTTGGCAAAATTTTGTAATCTAAGTCGTAGGTGGAATATCAGAACAAGGATCAACGGCGATAAGAGATAACGGGGGACTACCAGCACCTTACGTTAGCATAACGTACTCAGTTTCCCGCAAACTCTCTTTTTATTTTTACGCTTTCGTCTTCTCTGCTTCCTTCCTTTGCCGATGCGGAACATTTTTTATTTCTCCAGGGCCAGACCATGACAACATTCCCCTCCAAATCTTCCCTCCCTTTCTCCTCCGACCCTCCTTCTCCAAACCCGGCTCACGATATCTCAGATGGAGCCGCCGAACGCCGCCTTCAGGAGGCGGAGGAACGGCTGCGGGAGGCCATAGAGGAGCTGCAACGGCGGCAGCGCCGCGCCCGGGGGCTCCACCCACCTTGCGAACATGCCGACGAATCTTGTGTTGCCAACGCCATTGGTAATCTGTGCCAGAGCTTTCTCCTTTCTTATGGTGTACGAGTTGGCATCGGAATCCTTCTTCGCGCTTTCAAGCTCGCTCGGCGGAAGTCCTACTCTTCCCTCCTTGATCTCAAGGTAGGGTTGGCCACTTGATTGCTCATAATGCGTAACTTCTGGTTCATTACTGGATTTCGAATTGTAATTGCACAATTGAATAATGCGTAATTGGATCATATCTGTCACCGCGGTCTGGAGATAAATCAGAGCTGAAAGAATAGTAGTTATTGGATGGCTTGCACAATAGCCTTTTTCCCATTTTGACCTATATATTGGACAACTTACTCTTACTCTGTTGCTTTCATCAAGTAGCCAAAATGGGTCATCCCTCTCTTGGCTTAATTCCACTGTTACCCTTGACTTGTATTGGGATTTTCAACTTACTTCTTCTTATAATCAACTTTTAGTTATCCGCAGAAGAGACGTTTCCATGCCTATAGGAATCGATGATTATTAACCATATACAACATTGATTCCATCTCTCCTCAGCTGACTAGTTGTGAACAATGGTAGCGTTGAAATCTGCATCACTTTCTTTCAGCGAAATTTTCTATATTATTATTCAATTCTTGATTAGGGTTTCCTTGGTTTTGATATTTTTCCGTGGGAGTCTGCTTGAATTTGAATCATAGGATCCAGTTAAATACCAATAGCAGTTTTAGGGAAACTTGACTGCTATATATATATATATATATGGAAAAAAGTAAGGTAAATTTATTCAAACAGAAAAGGAGAACATTACAACAAAACCCAGGGAAAAAACTGCCTGAGTGCGGATCAGATTACAGACTCATCCAAGACTGAGAACGAAACAAGTGAGCCAAATTCTGATGCCTAAACGCCTCAGTAATCGACACCCAAGAGATCAACTTTGCCCACAGTTCTCTGCACTGACTCTTCAGGACTTTTAGCTCTACTGCAGAAAATTCTATTATTTCTCTCAGTCCAAATAGACCACAAAACAGCTGCAGGAATGATCTTCCATACTAATCTTCCTTTCTTGTTGAGACTGTCCACTCTTCAACAGTACAACAGTTGCTTGACTGATCTTCGCATAACCCAACTAATACCCAGAGCCTTCAGGAAATGTCCCCATTGTGGAAGTCGGGCAGTGAATGCACAAGTGATCTGTAGTTTCTGAAAGAGAACCACACAACACACAAGAGGGGTCCAGAACCTGAATGCCACGTCTCTCCAGATTAGCTCTAGTCAAACATTTATCAAGAACCATTGTCCAAACAAGAAAGTTAGCCTTGGAGGGGCTAATTGGATTCCAAATCTGATTGGCAGGAAAAACCGGTTGACCTGAACTGTGTAGCTTGAAGGCCAAGGACTTAACAGAGAAACAAACTTGACTGTTATATTTGCTTAGCTGATTGTATGCCTATACGGTTCTTTTGTTAAATCAGTATGGACATGAAGAGCTACATTCAACAACCATATCAAATGACAAATTTCACCCAGAACCTGAATGTCGATCAGGTGAGCAGCATTGTTAAGTCTTTGCTGGTTTTCCAAGCAGGAAAATGGACACATGGAAGGGCCCTAGTCCAGTGATGTAATGTGACTTTGTGTTTTCCAAGTGGTCACCTAAACTAGGTCTACATCTGAATGAATGGTTTTAGAAGAGTTTGTAGAGAGGGATATAAGTGATAAGTGAAATTTTATTAATAATAAGAGAGACTCTCAGTGGATACAGTATGGAAGTTCCAAGAGGCTCAAGCTGCAGCCTCAAAGAGAAAACAGAATTACAATTGAGCCCAAAATAAGTTGTCCCTAAACACCCCTTTCTTAGCTAGAGAACCTGCCAGCCCATTAGCTGATCTCCTCTCCCACTGAACTCTCACTGTTATCTTGGAGGTTAACCACTTGAATCTTCTCATCACCCCTCTTAAAGGACCAGGCTACAGTCTCTGGCTCCTTCAGCCACCCAGTTACTAGTTTATTAGTTGATATATAAACAGTAAATACAACAGGAATGAAAACTTCCAAATCAGGAGAATGTAGAGCTAAATTTTGACCATTTCTCTTTCAACCAAAATGAGGTAGCGGAAATTTAGTATGTGTTCCTCAGGCAATCTTGGGCCTTCTGGAGTCATTAAAGGGAAGGGGGTTACCTGAGAGTGCAGTAAATGGTAGTCTCAGGATCTACTTGGTAAGGCATTTCATTAAGAGCTGAGATATTGGTATTGTTTGTAGCTTATAAGGTCCAAAGATAGGCTTTTCTCTAGGGTTCAAGTGAGAATAGATTGAAGGTAAGTCTTAAGTGGTCTTAGGCTGGATAATTTCCTCAATTCCTCTTTCGGTGGTCCATGAACCCTTTATCATTTTATTAAGGAGGACAGAGCCTTGGCATTAGCTTGTTCAGATGGATATCAGGATTTGCTAATATATTGCAGATAGTCTAACCAGAGGATGAGTAAGGATTATCATCATCATCCATGCTTTATCCCCACTATATGGGGTTGGCTACATGAATCCTATTTTGCTAATCTGTTCTATTTAAAGTCATAGCCACTGTTAAATTATTAGTGTTTAAGTCATTTATTATATTTCTTCCCATGTCCTTTTTGGTCTACCCCTAGCTCTTCTAGCCCCTTCCACTTGTAAAAAATCACTTCTTCTAACTGGAGTTGTTGGTGGTCTTCTATGCACGTGACCAAACCATCATAGTCTATAGTTTACTCTCTCATTTTATCACTTATTGGAGCTACTCCTAGGTTTCTACGGATGGCTTTATTCCTGATCCTATCCTTTTTAGTTTTTCTTTCCACTCATCCATCTTGGCATTCCCATTTCTGCCACATTCATTTTCTAAACATGTTGTTTCTTGCCTGCCCAACACTTTGCTCCATACAACATAGCTGACCTTTACAACCTGCTCTAATTCTTTGGGTGGCATCCACAATCTCTCCCTTGTTATGAATTATTGAACCAAGATACTGGAAATGGTCACATTAGTTATCTCTTGGTCTCCAATCCTAAGTGTATCATGATTTACATTCCTATTATTACTAAATTGTGGGATGCAACATTTATTTATTTTGAAAAAGTAATGAAATGTATTGTGTAAATGACTGGTTACATTCAAAGCTCATGTACACTGACAACCTGTACGATGGGGTTGCGTAATAAGCATGGTTCGGTATGCTTTCAGTCTATAAGCAAAATATCCCTGTGAAAAAAACCCTGAATTTCGTCTGTGTAGATAGCCAAGAAAACCAAGTTCCCTTGACTCTTCCTAGCAGCATATTATCTGAATAGATTTATTCTCAAATATGTGATTATTCTTCCCCATCCAAATGCACCAAAAGATGGCTAGAGGCATAAAATCCAATCCCACCTTTCATTTCTTACTTAGCCCATCCAGCTTCCAGCCAAGAATAAAGTTTTTAACTAACTGTGGAAAGCATCTCTTCCAACCAAAGATGTAGAGCAACTGACCAAATTCTGGCAGTGACCTAGCAATGCAACAAAAGATGATTAGCATTTCAATCTCATCCAGGCAAAAGATGAAGTTGGCATTATCCAGTACCATTCCTCTACAAATGAACTTATCCATTACTCCATTGTCAAGTGTTTCTCCAAGGCTGCAGTCCATACAAAAAAGGCCATCTTGGATGGAGAACCTGTCTAGCAAATTCTGGAACATGGAAATTCACTGCAACGTTGGAGTTGAGCTTTTTGATCTGAGAATGAACCAAACCTATTTCACACCTATCTCCTGCTATCTGCCGCTCCTATTTGAGGAACAACCCTTTGGATTTTATTTTTTAATAACTCAAACAGAGAATCAGCCTCCCAATAATTCAGATTTCTTCTAAACCGTAGGCTCCATACAATTGCCCTGTTTGAGTTAGCATGACCTTCTTTGACTAGGACATCCCTTTCATATTCAGCCATAAATAGGGCTGGGTATAGTTGCATCGGCAGATGGCCTTTAGACCTGTTCACAGACCATGCTTCGGGCTAGGCCACTGAACTTTTTACACTGCTTTGAGCTCTGCCAACCCATGTATGGGTCTAATGGTCATCACAGAATTTGTTCCTCCAAAAACTAACCCTTGAGTCCTCACCAACATTTTATTTATTTATTTATTTTTTTGAGAAATGTTAACTTGTATTCATAAAAGGGAGGGATGTACAAGAGACCTAAAAGATCCCTCACCAATATTTTAGCTGTTTAGAACTCCCCCCGAGATGGATGATGAATGTATCATGAGCATTGACCTACTAATTAATAATGCAGTCCTTAATTAACTATTCAATCAACTGGTTTACACTTTTATAATACTTCTATTTACTAAGAGACAGAGGTGTACCCTCCTTTGAGGGGTAATGATATGAGTTAGGGGAGAACAGAGACTGGGAATGATGTATATTAAGAGAAAACTTAGATGTCACTATGTGAATCAGTTGTAGGGATGGATGGGTCTGGGTGCTAAGTATAGGTTTATATTTCAGTGCTCTGTATTTCTTCAAAATTTATATAATCACTTCCCTTCTGAATTGTCCAAGTCCAACAGACCACAAATTGAACTAATTTCTATTGTATCCTCCCTTTAAATTGGAACTGCAAGAACACCCAAGCTGACACCATATTCTTATGTTCATGACATAATCAACTGCACACTTGGGCACCCAAGCTAAATGCGGGGCCCCAAGGACTAAATCTTCCAAAATATGATCCATTCCGGTCTCACGATACTATTAGACTTATCTTGAGGACTAAACCTTTTTTTTTTATTGGATAAACCTTCTAAATTATGTTCCATTTTGAAAGCAGGATGTGCTCATTTTCCTTTACCTTCTATTGCATTTCTTGTGACCATTGGTGCAAAATAGGAAAGAAAAAAATTCTGTTATTTTATCTGTATTATTCAACTAAAATGATTTACCGAAAAAAAAAAACTAAAATGAGAAATGTATTAAAGGATCTCCTCTAGCCATACTCATCACCATAAATTGATTGAGGTGATGTCATAGGATTCACAATCAAATATCTGATCACGGAGGAGGAATTTTGATTTTATTGATGAAAAAAGAGAAGGAATTCTGACATAGAATGGGATGCTTGTTTGATAAAAATAATTGCATGGAGACTGATTATCGGCAGCTTAAGTACAGAAATAACATAATTATCACTTCTAATCAACATACTAAGTTCAACAAATCAGTTCATCTAATGGAAATCATAGTCTTGCACAACTAGCTGTTTTAATTTAGTTCTGCTGTTGCAAGAAAAATAAGGAAGCCAAATCCTCTTGGTTATTTTCTTATATGGTGTTAAAGGCTTTGTAAATATTTCTACATCTGTCTCCTATTTAGATTTTTGCCTGGTGTTTGGAGGATATGATAGAGGTCCCATCATTACTCAAATAAGACTTAAAAAAAATTAAAGCACTGTACATTCAATGTTTTGTCACGTTGATATCGTACATTATTTGCTTTCTATGTGCAGCAACTTGTGTCAGAGAAAGACCTTATAGTAAGAGAAGAAGCTTGTCGCATTGGGTTACTTTTTGGCGGTTTTACTGGATCTTATCATGCCCTTAGGTGTCTACTAAGAAAGCTTAGAAAGAAAGAGACACCTTTGAATGTGTAAGTTTCTGGCTATGACATGACTTCTGTCTTTAGCTTTCATTTTTAATTGTTATTTTAGGCAGTGATTTGGAATCTCTAATTTTGATGAAAGGGTCATCTTGTTGGGCAAGGACAAAATTACTCTCATTATTGACTAGAATAATTTTATAGGATTATTTGAGGCCATACACTAGGGCCCCATTGTTTTTCGGTAAAGGAGGGGGGGGGGAGAGTTGATCAATGGGGAAGTGGTTGCCGTTGACCAACAATCCCATGTTCACTTTCCGGTAAACTGTGGGTCCCAGGGTAGTTGCTTTTCACTGAGTAAATGATACCCATCTCCCAGGTGGGTAAGTAACTTTCCCACCTGGGGGGAAAATTGCCAAAACATCATGGGACAAAATTGCCCCTTGTAATAATTGCATTTTCTGGGTAAAAAATGGTCAAAAGAATATTTACCTGGGAAACACTTTTTGATCAAAAGAACACAGGTAAATGCACTTACCTAGGTAAATGGCTTCCTGAAAAATGAACGGGACCTAGGAGTGTTTTTAATGTTTTCAAGAGAAGCACCATGTTTGCTAAGATAATGGAGTGCAGAATCACTGATCTCTACTTAGTTTTAGGTTTTGTTTTTAAAGATTGACATTTTTGAGTGGTTTTGATAACCATTAATGCATGATCATTCCTATTCCATATTTATGACTGTTAAAGGGCGTGATGGAGCAGAATTTTAGCAGGTTCAGTTGCAGGATTGTCAATTTTAGCATTAGATGATTCCAGCCGGAGGCGCACTCTTGCTTTGTATCTTTTAGCTAGGCTTGCCCAGGTACATGATTAAGTTTTGAATTGCCTATTTTAACTGGAGTTCAGAAATGGTTTAAATCATATTTTCTAATATTTTTCTAATACTTGCTGTTATTTTATTTAGTGTGCTTATAATTCCGCAAAGTCAAAGAACAAATTTCATCTTTGGGGTAGCCATTGGAGTCATGGAGATTCGTTACTATTTGCTTTCGCATGTGCCCAGGTGAAGAAAGCTCAAATTCTAACTATGCACACACACGTATCTTGATGTTTAATAAGTTTGCACCTGATTTTGTGGGGGTAAGTTACTTCTATAACTCCATTCATTATTACTTGTTGTCTGATTATTTGGCAGGTTATGTATTCCTTTGTAATGCGTCCAGAGAGCTTGCCTAAATCATATCAAGATTTCATTCAGAAGACTGGACCAGTTGCAGAGCCTGTCTACAAGGCTGTAAGGGATAGCTGTAGAGGTTGCTCAGTAGATGTTGCTGCTCTCTCTGCTTACCTATCTAACCGGAAAGAACCTGGCACTGTAAAGTTGGAGGAGCATCCCTCTATAATACCGTGTTCAATAATTCATCCAGACATAAATTCGTGTTTAGTTCATAATGCAAATGCAGCATCAGCAACATTCAGAAAAACATTTCCACTCTACTTCTCTTTGACTTTTGTACCGTTTGTTGTCCTGCACTTGCAAAAGGTACATCATTTCTGCCACAGATTGGCCAGACTTTTCCTACGGCATTAGAAACATGTATATGATATATTTGTTAGAAGTGTCTGGTCTGGAATTTTGTTGGAGTTACGTTAGCCAGGGAAAAGAAAATTTGAGTTTACTTAAAATGTTCAAGTCACTGATTTGGTTGTTTGTGAATATATGCATCAAGTATTTTCAGTTAGATCTATTATGCAACATCTACAATTATGATGTGTACGCGAGCTTGCATTATTTTTTCCATGTAACCACAGACATGTTTTGAACAACCTTTGCACAATATGCATTATGTTCATTCATGCAAATACTAGCTTTCTGTGGAAGCTGATTAGTTGAAAATTTGATGTCCTCTTAGTTCATGGAGTCTCCTGCTCGCACCTGTTGGCATGCTGTTAAAGGTGCTGTTCGCTCAACAACATTCTTGTCTGCTTTTGTTGGAATATTTCAGGTAGCTAGTTACTTGTATCTGGAATTCTTGATTTCTAGACAATCTGTCAATCCCATATTCCTAATGTTGCATTTTTGGGTGATGCAAGGCGGTCATATGTTTGCACAGAAAGGTAGCATCAAGGGATCACAAGCTTGTGTATTGGGTTGCTGGAGGACTCTCTGCCCTTTCTGTACTATTGGAGAAGAAGGCCAGACGTGGAGAACTGGCTCTTTATGTTCTTCCACGGGCTGGAGATTCTTTGTGGTATATATTAGTGAATCGTCATCTGCTTCCAGATATCAAGAATGCTGAGGTAAATCACTTGCAACATTCCAAATTCTTTTATTGCATTGGCTTGCAACATCATTTCAGCATAAATACTGAAAATTAAGTAGATTGAGCTCAATTAACATTCTCTGTGTATATTAAATAGATTAGAGTTTCTGCTTCGCATCAAAAGTTGCATTGTCTTAAGCTTAAATTATCAATAGAATAGATGATAGAACCATTAGTACTCTATTTTTGTATTGATGAATGGGTATCACTGTTAGACCATTAATCTATTATGCTGTCTGAGGTAGAAAATTTACCATGTGCAAATTAATCTTTATTGAGTGGCCATGCTGTCGAGACAAAAATCTACCTATGATGTTTATGCAATTTCATCAGCTCAAGTGGATCACATGTGCAAATTAATTAATGAGTTTTTAGCTACAAAAATCAACTTAATTCTTACTGAACAGAAGCAGCATATTTCCTTTTAGAGTTTGATTGAAGTATGATGAAATCTCCAATCTATTTTACCAAATGTCACAGGTGGCTCTTTTCTGCATGTGCATGGGAGGAATTATGTATTATTTGGAACATGAGCCAGACACAATGGCCCCATTCCTCAGGGGCTTGATACGTCGCTTCCTTGCTAGTAGGATAAGCAATCCAGGTCCATCCTCCAACCGAAATGCATCCTATTCATACCTACAAACTTTTGATGTGATAAAGAAACCAAAATTGCAAGAGAGCCGAGGAACTGAAACTTCAGCCTCTGAAAAGTATAATCTTGAATCCATCCCTGGACTATAAGGAATTAGTCTCTGATCAAAGCTATATAATCAGAATATCAAACTTGGACTTCTTTTTTTTTCTTTTTTTTTTTTAATTTGATCGTTTGCTATATTTTAAGTTGGGCAAGAAATTCTGCCTCATTTTTTGGAACCCAGAATCTGGAAGCTATAGAAAAAGGGATCTGGAGATTGCTACCGGTCCATGTTAACCAGTAAGATGCAAGGGTTTTTCTTGTTCACGTTGTAGATTCTTCTTCTTATTTCCCCACACTTTGTGTACCGAAGCAATGTGTTATGGATAGTTTCCTGAAGAAGGCAATGATAATTGATCCGGATCTTCTCCACATTTTTCTCACTCAGGATCTGCCGCCGGCCATGCTGTGTAAAAGGTTCTGTAACCAATAACACGATGTGGGTGGCGTGTATACATGGGATCCACACCGGCATGTTCATTTGTGATAAATCATGTAGTCTTTTAAGCACCGCATGGCGAGCAGCTGATCCGGGCTCTGATTTTCTATTTGGAGAACATGGTCGTAGGACATCCTTCAACATGGACAAAATGCTCGTAACAAAGGTTAGCAATTGGGTGGGTTAGATGCTGATTACAATACATTAACCACCAACTAACTAACTAGGGGTTATCACCCAAGGTTCAAAGTTTCCGTACATATTGGGCTTTCTCATACACCCTTACAGTGGATGTTTTGGGTCAGACCATTGTTCTGGGAGTAAACGGGCTTTAAACCGATTCTTCTGAATCAGATTGAAAAAAAAAACTACAAAAAAAATGGAGAAGCGAGCCTCTATCGATATTTTGAACCTTGGTATCAGTGTATCACTAATGTGAATTGTTGTGTTATTGGCGAGCAACCCTTTGATACCCAACGAGTTCATTTTCGCTCCTCGAAATGCAGTCTATTGATGGATACGTAATCAGGTTGGATGTCTGCCTGAAAAGAAAAGGGTTCTAGTTTTAATACAGTGCTGGCTAAATTCCGGTTGTGTGCATGGATGGGATGCATGCGTTCTTGTCCTTCGAGATTTTTTTTTCATACCCAACACATCCAATCCAAGGCACCCACTTAAATCAATTACTAAACTAAACTGAGTTTCATTCTGTGATCTCTGATCTGGCTGCAATTTAGGGGTTTTTATTGGTAACATAATTTAGGGTATGTTTGAAATCGTGTTATGTTACCAGTGTTATGTAGGCAATTTTTATTTTACCTAACCGAAATGATGCTTAGTTGAATGGATTTAATTACAACATTTTGTATTACACCTAAACTTCATACTTTATGTAAAAAATGACTTTTGGAGGAAAATGTTTTGATGTTTTCAACTCAAGAGAGTGTTTATATTTCCATATCCTATGTGATGCCCACTCGCCCAGTGGCATTTATATGTTTTAAACAAGAATAGATAAAATTGGGATATTTTGCAGACCAGAAGGTTGTGTTTGTTGTGCTGAAAGCTTGATCTAAGTGCCTCGAATTCTGTACATGCCTCATGATCAATCTAAGTGTAAGCTCTTGGCTTTGGCCATTGTCTTCAGTTGCTGTAATGAAATGAACTGTTTTTAGTGTTTTTTAGTTTAGTTGGTTGGACCAGTTTAACCGTGAATGAATACATGTATTCCCTGTAAAAATTTAACTTAAAGAATTATACTTGGGGTCAGAGACATGAACCCTCTTCCACCATTTTGCTCTGTTCAGTGCTATGTCCATTGTTTCTCACTACTTCAACCCAAATATATCAACCTTAATGAAAAGGATCCAGATAAATTTCATTTGATCTACCAATCCCAGGTTTACCCAAATTTTTGGCTTGGCTGAATTCATAGCACGTAATGAGTCAATAAGAAAAATTCCACTAGCTTGGAAGCTGATCAATGATTTAAATTTTAAGCAAAACAATTCTCTTAATTAGAAGCCATGAAAGGAATTTCCAACCCCCAAGAAGTTTCAATATGTTTAACAGAAAATTGGTTCTGCAACCAAGCAGTGGTTTCAACAGTCCTCAAGCTTTGCCTTCATTTCCTAGGGGTGCAATTTGGGCGGGCCAGACAGCCCGAACCAGTCCAGCTCAAAATTTTACACAGGCTGGGCTTGGATTTTCAATTCTCAGGCCAGGCCTGGGCCAAGAAGTTGGGCTTTTGTATTATTTGGGCTGGGCACAGGCCTAGCCCTTAAGTAGTCCGAACCTGGCCCAAGCCCAACCCAACTATACATATTCATGCATACATATGTATGCATTGCACTCCACTGTGGATCGATTCCAAATCCTCGGGCAGGATGCAGTTTATAGGGGAGGGGGCTACTAGTAGACTATGGGGGGCTGTAATTTCATCCCACCTGTACGGTGGGGCTAAGAATTATGGGGTGGGCTGAATAGTCTCCCTATATATATATAATTTTAGAGTTTGTTCATTGACCAACCCAAGCCTGGCCCAGGCCCGAACCCAACCCAAGTGCATCAAATTATAGTACGGGCTGGGCTCGGGTTGGAAAGATCGGGCTTGACCTTGGTCTCGGACCTTAAGCCCAAATTTTAGGGTCGGGCCCGGGTTGATCATAAACCCGGCCCAACTTGCACCCCTATCATTTCCCCTTTGTTTTCAAAATGAGTGTGCTTGAATGGTTTAAAAAGAAAACAACAATAATCTGAAAGAGACCAACCCAAACTAAACCAAATATAGGCCACCACTTACTAGAACACCCCCTATAGTTTCATGGATTTACTAAAACCTACCTATTATTTTCATTTTACTAAAACACTCCCTATAGTTTGCAACCTATTTACTTGATCTACTTTTCATTAAGAAGTGTTTATTTTGACATATGAAAATAGTAACATGATCACCTAAACTGAGTGGAAAGTGTTTAAGGACATGGGGCCCATGATTGTTTATTCTAAAGGTATGCCTAACACTTTGTAAAGAAAATAAAATCAACCAAATAAAACCAAATAGAGTGGTTGTCCATATCTTATTAGTGGGAAAATGGTATTTTCATTTTTTTTATTTTCTTTTGATTAAATTTAGGGAATTTTACTGTCGAATCCACCCCCACAAGTCTTAGCTTCACTGTACGATTGGGGTAGGTGTCAGCTCAAAATTGATGCCAATACACGGACAAGTATTGGTATTTAGGTGAAGGTATTTAAAATTTTGAATTGTTGTAGATCTGCAGTGGAATTCGGAATTTTGAGAAAGAGTGCAGTCTACTTATCCCTTAAATTTATTCAAATGAACATTAGGATCAAAACTATCATTTTCCACTGTCATCTAATGGAATGATGATTAACTAAACTATAAGGTGGATTTTAGTAAATCCATAAAACTATAGAAGTGTTTTAGTAAATGGCCCCAAAAAAAGCCACATTTCAATAGAATTCAACAATCCTTTTGCTTTTTGGCTTTTTGGCATAGTTCAATTTCCTTTGAATTACGCGAGACCATTAAGGATCTAAAGATTATAACCAAGATAACCAGTTGTAGGTAACTGGGGGGATGCTTATTAGTAGGGGTGGAGTATGGGCTGGGCCAACCACAGCTATTAGGTACAGAAAATGAGGCTGGGGCTCGTCTTGGCTCGTTAGGTGAGCCAGCATTACACAATCTGGGCCTGGCCATAAACAAGTTGGGCACGCGCCACTGGGCCTATTAGCGCTGAATATGAACGTATTTTTATTTTTTAAACAAAAGCAGCTGCCATGTCATCAAAAAACATGTTGATTTTGCTGATGTGGCAGCTGTTTTCGTTTTGAAAAAAACAAAATCAATCATGTTGCCCAAACACCCCCTGTGGGTAGAAGTAGAACTCTCGAGAATAAGCAAAAGCCATTTAGATCATGTAGGTTTTAAAAGAGAGAACTTCCGACGAATTCTGTACGTAGTAACACTAAATTATTCTTAAGAGAAAAGCAGAAAAGAAAAGCATCCTTTCTACTTTATAATTCAAAAGCTTATATAAAGTTACTTTTAAGAAAAAAAAGGGTTACCGTATCAAGGTGGCCTCTAAAAGTCGAGATGATATTTTGTGCCAAAATTTCTCCCTTTATGTAGTGGCGGGTCCTTTTCCTGTTTATGATGAGACCGAATCTTCTCTCATACATGGTGCCTCACACCGACCTATAGAAACATCTCTCGTATTTATGTGTTATTATATACGGGAAATGTTCTCAATGCACGGTGAAAAATGCCTGTGAAGTCGTTGTGAGGAGCATAACCTTTATGATAAAATATCACCTTGAGCATTGATTTTTTCCATTTTATTTCTTTCAATGAAAAAGCAATAAAGAAAGTTGATTGTTTTTTTTTTTTTTTTAATTCATGTTCCATAGATGCAAAGACAACCTATAGAAAGCACAAGTTGTGAGATATTGATTTTGACAGATAGCCTTATTTCCAGATTGAGGGTATGATTGACTTGGGACCAGGAAAATCCGAATTGAGATTTTCTGCCAATAAAACATATTCTAACCCTCTATCAACTTGATTTGACACCATACATCTCATCATGAAACTGGAACCTATCATAAAAGTATTGGTAGGTGGTCCAGACTCGCCTACTCCACAGTTAGGGAGTCATGGGTTGGGAGATGGAATACCTCTATTGTATAGCCTCACTAGAAAAACGGTCGGAGTCAGCAAACTTTATATTAGTTTTCATCAAAGTAATGGGTCATTAATTTAATGTTATGGGCTATGGCTTTATGGGTCAAATGGGTCAATTAATATGAGACTTTTGAGTCATATAATAACAATATTAAAATAGATGTTTCGTATTAAACAAAAATATAAAAAATATAAATCTTTTTCAAAAATAATGTGATCTGTTTAATATTATATATTGATAATATCAAACAAAAAAAATTCACCATGCGCATGGATTGACTGTTTCACCCTAAAACCGGTAAGGTGATTGGTTCTATTTCACCCTAAAACTGCTTCTGAGATAAAAATCGTTGATTTGGTCAGCCATCTACCTAAAGATCGAAATGTAGACTCATCAACCTGAACAATGGCTTTTGACTGTTTTTTACTTTAATTATTTTTATTTTTATTTTTTAAATCAGAACAGGCCGTCCATTTGAACCAGACAGTCAGACCGTTTGACCCAGGATCCAGTCCCCAAAACAGTTCCTTGTCCGATCTGGTTTTTAAAACCTTCCATTAAACCATTAAACCACATTCTATCATTCTCGTTACTGTTTGATTTATCTGAGAAGTTAGAAACATTTGATTACTCGGAAGGTTAATTTGTAGTTTGAAAGCCAAACTGATCAAAACCGTTAAAACAAATAAATAGCAATGGCTACTAGTTCATTTATTTTCAAC